GCTAATGGATAAGGAAAAAGGATAGCTTAATTAATGGAACATCAACAAGAGCATTAAAAAAGGAAAGAGGGTCCTGAACACTTGCGGAATGAAGAGTTGAGCAGGAATCTGGTAGGTTACAGTGCCTTCACCACCCCTGCTTTACTGGTGGCAAGTTAGGGTGTCCTTAATGTTTTCTGGCACTGTGCCTGGTAGTTGGGAGGAAGGAAAACTTTTCTCACTAATGAGGCAACAATGGTAATAAAGGACTGTGACTGTATTCCCTGGACTCCTCCAACTCTAAATGCTGCCTGATGACTTTGTCTGCTCTAGTCATTACAATAATGGGTCACTTGGAAGCTGGGGAAAAGTATGCTTAGTTTTTCTTTTCAGCTTTTCCTAAATGTAAAAGGATTGGGATTCTAGTCATTAAGCCTTGACTTTTTTTTCTTTTTAAACTCCCTTGGACTATCTAGTGGCAGGGTGATTAACCACCAATAGTTTCAACAATATAAATACCCAATTTATCAGGTAAGTTCTAGCTGATGAGCAAATTAATCAGATTTCTTGTTTTATGTACGTGTTGAGCAGGATCCTTTATCTCACTGTTTCCTATGCAATTGTCTCACAACAACAGTTCCCCATCCTGTACTTACTATAATCTAATTACTATGATACTATGTATTATGAATAATGTTACTGAAAAATATTCAGATTTTTCAGATTTAATTTGTGTGTGTGTGTGTGTGTGTGTGTGTAAAGTATATTAATGCTATGGAAATATTCTGGAAATCATTTACCAGTTTTGAGTTGTATACTGGAAAAATATAAAAGTATAAAAATAGTGGTAAATATGATGGCTTCAATGACACTTTGCACTTTGGATACTGGAAGCCACTGGAATCTTGGGTAGATTTGAACTATCCTCCAGGAGACCTGTATTGGTGCACTATTACTAGTATGATTTTTTTTGCTGAAGCTTTGGCTCAGACATTTATACACAAGCCAGTAGTGTACCTACTTTAGTGCATGCTCCCATAATTATACAGTTTATGATATGGAACATTTTTAAAAAGCTTAATTGAAAATTTTCTTAATTATATGTCGTGTGATTAGGTAGTTGGTTAGGTAGTGACCTAGGTAGTTCTGCTTATGTGGTATATCACCCACTGTATGCTAATGTTAAAAACTGGGTGATGTGATTAATACTGCTGTTAATTTTGAGGGGAGTTGTAACTTGAACATAGTATCATTTAAGCCATGATTTTTATCTCTGGTTTTCTGATGAGCTTATTTTCATTGCATATCTATTGCTGAACACTTCTACCTCTTCAATCAGGCCCTTGGCTACATATTTTCATCTTCCTCTCTTTCCTCCTTGAAGTAGATTGTCCCCCCTGATGAGCTGCAAATGGCTGGATGATTATGAGAGCTTGACAATGAAAACACATTTTTGTCTCCATCAGAGGAGTGGTGAAAGGAGGCAGATATGAAATTGCACTCCTACTTAAGTTAAATCTTTTCTTTATGACTTTCCTTTGTCATATGCTATTTTCTATGCTTGCCAGCTTTAAAATATAAATTTACCCAGACATTTTTTTCTCTTGGGTATGGTTGAAAGTTCTGCTTAAAAGACAAGCTAATGCTGGCTTGCTCTTGTCTGATTTTGAAGAGATTATGAGTTAAGGAAAGTCTATGGAAGGTCTTATATAATTAAAAAGAAACGAAACCTTGGATAGGCACTTTGCTGTGAAGAAGCTCCTGCAAGGGAGAGAAATTTGGCAGTGTGACCCTAGAGCGGATCCTAAACCACTCTAAACATTTTAAACATTCAAGTGCTTGATGGGGCTATAGATGTCAGCAGTTACAGAGTAAGTCCCTAATTTGATCTATGCCAAAGAAGAGTCTCTTCTTCTGAAACATCAAGTGTTTGCTTCAGGGTTGTGTAAGTGAAGCTTACTCTGTCTGGACATACAGAAATATGACAAAATTTTGGGCAGAAATAGATCTTAGTTAACATGAAATAGGAAATGTATTCCAAAAGTGCCTTTTTGTTTTTTGTTTTTGAGAGTTATCATATTGAAAAGTCCTGACATTTTTTGACTGAGAGTAATTCCTGGCTTTAGTTCCTTAAAATGTAATGTTTGTGTGTGATTTTTATATTACTTTAATGGATATATTTCAAAGCCTGATCAGAATTCCTTCCCTAAAATTTATTTTCTAGAAATGGGCCCGAAACAGTAAAAATATCTAATGCTGGGGGAAATGAGTCAGAATAGGACCCAAGGATGAACACAACTCAAGAAGCATGCCTTTAACCTGCAGGCCCTGGCTGACCACAATGGGATCCCCACGCTTCTCAGGAGTGGCACATTAGTGAGGCATCTGTGAGAGCACAGGGGATTGTGACAGCATATTGTTGCTGCTTATATTGTTGCTGCTTTAATGAAACTCAGCTCTGAGCATGGGCTGCTTCCAACCCAACCCCCACTGCCACTGCCATTGCCATAGGTGACCCGTAGAGGGGACATGGGGGGGGCACGTGCCCCCCCTGAGAGTGCTGGTGCCTCTTCTGACAGCAAGCACTACAGCTGGTAGAGGGGCACAGAGATCGCTTGTGCCCCCACTAAACTTGGCTCTGCCGGCCGTGGAAGTGCTGGTGCTTCCACTGCCGCCGTGCTGCAGGCGGAAGTGCTGGGACTTCTGCCACTGCCATGTGACTGACCACCGGGGGACCCCCGCAGTGTGCTAC